CGGCGGGGGGGGGATCTGTGCCCCCAGCAGGTCGTAGGCGAAGATGTTCCAGAAGACGGCGAAGAGCAGGAAGGTGCCGTAGGACAGCAGCAGCACCCACCAGCCGCACTGGTCCTGCAGGCTCTCCTCGTAGCTGCGCAGGATGGTCAGCCCCATGCTGATGCCCACGATGGCCCCCGCCAGGTGCGCCATGAAGCTCGGCTGCGGGCCCGAGGCCGGCAGCGGCGGCGAGAAGCGGAGCCAGACGGCGCGACCGACCTCGGAGCTCACTGCGGGACAGCGGGAGGCGCTGAGCCCGCGGAGGGACCCGCACGGCCGGGGGGGGGACGGGTACTCACTGCACACCAGCGCCAGCACCATCCGCAGCAGCTTGTAGGGACAGCGCATCCCGGCCCAGTTCTGCGGGAAAGGGAGAGAGGGATGGATGATGGATGGGTGGGTAGATGGATGGATGGATGATGGATGACAGACTGGCACCAGTGATGCTCCAGCACCGAGGTGGGGGCTTTAGCCAGAGCCCCTGGAATGCTCCATGGAGCCCCCTCAGGTCCCTGCGCCTCCCCATCCCCACCCCATGATGCCACCCACGGTGGTCCCCCCTGTGACAGTGCCACCCCTCATGCCACCCACAGCATCCTCCCACCAATGCTGCCCACCCCACAGTGCCAGCCACCCCATGGCATCCCCCCATAATGTCCCAGCACCTTGCCCAACCTGCAGACAGCTCCCATCCCCATTGTCATCCCATGGCATCCCCCACCATAGTGCCCACCCTACACAGCCATCCACCCCTGTCCCCCCCTCTGTGTCCCCTTGTCGCCTGGCTGACCATGACAACGTTGGCGAGGTGAGCAGAGCAGAGGGCGTAGACCCCCCCTGAGCCCCCCACCAGGGGAGCCCTCATGTCCGTGATGGAGACGGTGAGAGAGCCTGGGGGCACAGACAGGGCTCAGCATGGGGTCTCCCCCCACAGCATTAATTAATTACTGTCTACATTAATTAATTACAGCCTGCCTTGCCCCCCAGCCCCCAGCCAAGTGATGCTGGCACTGCCAGCGGAGCCCAGCATCCCCACCAAACTGGGCACTCACCATGCCCTCCCCGGGCTGGTGACAGGAACTGGGGGAAGGTGGGGACAGTCCCCCCCGGGCAGCACCCACCTGCCAGGACCCCGGCCAGGTAGAGGAAGCTGATGCGCAGGATGCCGTGCACCATCTCCAGGGGCACCCCGATCATCAGCTGCAGGAGGGCGTTGAATCCCAGCTGCTCCAGCCTGCCCGGGCACAGGAGGGGAGAGGTGGGGGCTCGGCCTGTGCAGCCCCTGGGGTGTCCCCCCTGTCCCTCCCAGCAGGACCTACCCCACGTGCATGAACATGTAGGTGAGGAAGCGCCAGGCGCGTGCCCGGTGCCCGGGGTGGTAGACCAGGGGGCTCTTCATGTACTCGGGGTGGTAGGTCTGCAGCACCCACTTGTTCAGCCGGGCCCCGTAGCACAGGAACACGATGATCTGTGACAAACCCCGCGGTTGTCACCCCCCTTCACCCCACATCTGAGCCCCACACGGGCACCAGGGTGTCACAGCTGGGGTCACCCATCCCCACTGCCCTGGGGGTGAGTCACACATGTGGGCACAAGGACATCACAAACAGGGTCCTCCATCCCTTCACCCCAGGTGCGAGTCCCCCAAGGGCACCAGGACATCACAGCTGGGGTCACCCATTCCTTTCACCCTGGATCTGAGCCCCTCCATGGGCACAAGAACATCCCAATGGGGCCACCCAGCCCCACTGCCCCAGCTCTGAGCCACCCACGTGGGCACAAAGATGTCACATCCAGGGTCACACATCCCCTCATGACAGCTCTGTGTGCACCAGGAGCTCACAACCAGGCTCACCCCCCTGCCCCGCCCGAGTCTGATCCCTGCCAAGGTCTCCAGCCGGGCCCGGCAGTCCCCGTGCCCGTACCTGGGTGAGGGTCACGGCTGCCATGAACACGGGGGGCGGGCAGGTGCGGTGCTGGTAGAAGTACCAGCGCCGGTCCATCTCGCAGGGCAGGATCTCGTAGGCCACGTAGCGGACGAAGCGTTTGTAGATGCCGAGGCCGGTCTCGTCCAGCAGGACGTCGCGGGGCAGCGCCCGCTGCCCGTTGGCGATGGCGCGCTTGAAGCTGCTGGAGCGCTTGCTGCTGATCTGCGGAGAGAGGCCGTGCCCGCGGGGGCCGCGGGGGCAGCTCGGGACCCCCGGCCTGGGGCCACCCCCTGCCCCGCCACCCCCTCGTGCCATCCCGCCATCCCGCGCCAGGGGAGACCCTGGGGACCGCCGCTGCCTGCCCCCCTCCCCAGGGGCACGGGGAGGTGCCCGGCGCCCACCCCGGGCTGGCACCCACCCCGTCCCCGCGGCCGCCCGGCACTGACCAGGTCTACCAGCTCCTGGTAGCAGACCTGGCCCTCGTCGTTGCCCTGTGCCAGGGCCACCAGCATGTCGAGCTTGGCGGGGTCCAGGGGCAGCTCATGGCTGTGCACCAGGCTGGCGAACGTCTCCACGCCGATGAAGCCGGTGTTTTCAGGGTCCAGCTGCGGGGCACGGCACGGAGCATCACCGGGGGTGCCGCGGCTGCGGCTCCCTGCTCGGCTGGGGACACCTCCGGGTGTCCCTGGTGCCTCACGCCTGGCTCCGTGACACCTGTCCCTGCCTCCGCGGGGGACACCGCAGCCCCGGGCCGTGCCCCGTGAGGTGCCCTGTGCCACGCTGCTGCCCCGTGCCGTGCCGGTGTCCCCGTCTCCCCGCGGCGCAGCCAACACTCTCCCACTCAGTTATTTCTCGCCGCCAGCAGCCTGCCAGCCAGGAAGCCACCAAGCTAAACACACGCGCAGCCCTGGCACCAGCCTCCTACTCCTCCTCCTCCTCCTCCTCCTCCTCCTCCTCTCCTCCTCCTCCTCCCGCCGCCCTTGCCGCCGGCCGCTGGCATCCACCGCGCCCTGCCCGGGGCTCCCTGTGCCATCCTCGGGGCTCCCAGAGCGGGCCGGGCACCCCGAGTCCCCGGGGACAGCGCCCACGGGCACCCAGCGCCACGGAGTGCCTGACGTGGAACCGCTCATGGGGACAGGGAGCCCGGGATGGCACAGGAAGGTGGAGATGGGGAGAGGGCACCCACGGCCAGAGCGCAGCCCTGCAATCACCCTGAGGTCGTGTGGGGTTTGCTCCTTGCTTCTGCCGGGAGGAAATGCGGGAGAGGAGCCTCATCCTCGTGGGATGGGCAGGAGAGGGAGTCCTTGGGACACGGGATCGTATCGCCACCGGATGGGCACCCTGTCCCTCCCTGCTCCCCCGGCAGGAAACAGCCACAGCCTCTTTCCCGAGGGGGTTTGGCTGCCCGGAGCGGGGTGCAGGGTGGGATGAGGGGAGCAGGGTGGGATGAGGGGAGGAGGGTGGGATGAGGGGAGCAGGGTGGGATGAGAGGTGCAGGGTGGGATGAGGTGAGCAGGGTGAGATGAGGGGTGCAGGGTGGGATAAGGAGTGCAGGCAGCGCCTGCAACCTCTCAGCAGCTGCCAGCCCATGGGAGCAGCCCCAGCCACGGGGAGAGGGACACCCGGGTGTCACCCGTGCCCCTGCCCCACACCCGTCACCCCACAGGCTCCACGTGTGTGTGTCACGCCGGGACCTGGCACACGCTGAGCTACCGGCCCCCAGAGCACCAAGAGCCCTGTCAGCAGCCAGGGAGTCCCTTTCTTCTTTTGGGGTACATCTCCCCCCACCCCAAACTCACTGGCACCCTACGACCCCCCGGTGGGGCCCATTCCCCAGCCCCCAGCCCTCCCAGCACTGCTCATTCCCAGGGAAGGTGCTGCTGGCTCCTGAAGAGCCCGGTTTCACATGGAGCCCCTGTGCCCGAGGGTGGGGTGACACGGGGGACAGCTCCGCGGCTCCCGGGTTGAGAGACTCAGCCAAGGTCACGGAAACAGCGGGGGGCGAGTGGGGGATCAGTTCATTTTCCTGATCCCCAAGAAATTCCTTCCCCGTGGCCAGGGGAGAGCCGCCAGCTGGGCCAGGGCTGGGCGGGGATGGAGGGACGAGGCGATGGAGCTCAAGGGGGGCTGGTGGGGGCCGGGGGCAGCGGGTGGAAACCCCTCGAAGCCCCATCGTGCCGCGAGCAGAGCCCCACGCCGCGCAGCGCTGATGCTCCACGGCCTCATCCCGCAATCAGGTCACGGGGGTGGGCGCAGACCCCCGCCTCGCCGGCGGCACCGAGCCCACGGCAGCCCCGGGGCTCCATCCGGCACCCAAACCCCGCCGGCGGCGCTGGGGCTCCGTGCCCAGCACCCCTCGTCCTTGAGGGCGCACGGGCAGGATCCGACCCGGCGCTGACGGAGGGAGAGGCCACAAGTGAGATGAGTCGCGCGTTCTCAGCGGCACAGGGCGGGGGTTGTTCCCCAGGGCGGCGATGAGGGGCTCCGAGGGGCTCTGGCGGGGGCCGGCACGGCCGCGCTGGCCGCCCTGGGTGGGCAGCGGTGCCCGCTGCGCGCCAGCCGTGCCCGGAGCGTGCGAGCGCCCCGGCCCCGGTAGCGATGGCCGCTGTCCGGCGGCCCCCCCGGCGCAGCCCGGTGCCCGGTGCCCCCCGGGCGGCCTCACCTGCTCCTGGATGAGCTGCAGCAGGGAGCTCCTGTCCATGCACCCGGCGGGCTGAGGGCTCCGCCGCTCCCCCGCGCCCGGGGCCGGCGAGCCGGGCAGGGGAGCGGCGCGGGCGGCGGGG